ACCATAGAGTTAGTATAGATAGAGTAGGCAAGCCCGGTAGGTAGGCGTCCGGTGAATAAAAAGAGAAAGGAAATTGGATTTGGTGGTGCTATCTTTCTCTTACGACGAAACAGAGAAGAAATAATAATACCAAGTTCGTTTTTTCTCTCTTTCTATCGATGTGATGTTTCCACTTACACGCGCGCCTATGTCTTGCCTACTCTATCTATACTAACTCTATGCTGGTTACACTTTTTCTTCCTCCGCACGAAGAGACGATCGGACCCAATGACGATCGCATCGATCTGACGTGAGCCGCGTATCTTTGAGACGCGTTTAAACGTGAAGATTGCTATGAATCGATTAAACGGTCGCAGCGTCGTTCGGTACTTTCCACTTTGGAGAAAGTACGTGGGTACTCAGCAGACGGCAGAGGTTCACGGAATTTTACTGCGGCGAACGTGAAAGTTGACGAGCGCATCGATTTACAGACATAAATGCTTCGATCGTGGTGGCGTGCAGTGTACGTCAAACGTAATTAACACGCAGTTCAAATCGAATAGCAACGAGCAGAAGACGACATTTCCGATTATACGCAGAAGCCGGTTCCAGGAAAATGTACATGCACATGCAAATTGATTAACATCCTTTGATACGAGCGTGCGAACGCCCGCACGCGAACGCAACAGGGTAAAGGTGTTTTTTGTTAATAATTCAAAAACCATCGCTCACTTTGCATTTTTCTAAAGGAAATTGTTATTCAGGAACGTTATGGTTTTCTATTTGGAGTTCGCAGAATGGAATTTAGTAATAATGATAATGTTTAAAGAAAATTATTATATTGGATAATTAATCGAAAACTGAAAAGGGATTCCACTACTCTAATTAATTAAACGATTACGTAACAACTGCTCTAAATATACACACGTGTTCCTTGTTAGATATCACACAGGTAAGTAAGGATCAGGCGGTCCTCGCGCTCCTTGTACGCCTCATTATGGACATCAGCGCTATTTAACTTAAACTACTATTGGCGCTAAATTACAAATCTATACATATCCTCGCGTGGAGTTTTTTCCTATAGTAATACGGTGTATTACCTTAACAGGAAACACAGGGTCACCTCTCTTCGGCTGTAACACTTTTTCTTGGACACCCTGTATACGTTCAATTATGGTTCGAGTTATACGTTTACGCTTATACGTACAGAATGCGCGTATAAAATGTTACCAGGACAGAGATAGCCACTGTGGCTAGTAAGCCGAAGATTAAATCAAGGTCGAGTAAAATGTGAGACGGTGCACCACGTGAAACTGTCTTTCGAGAAGCCTTAATATCATTACGTGATGAAACGACAACGATGGAAAAGTATCGTTCGACTCGTTTTGCATACGCGTCGTTTAAGCTGATTACGTAAAGAGCGTTAATCCCATGGGTACGAGAGTCGCTTCGTTCACAGACTCCGCCTTTTCAATAAATACATGCGCGCGTCGTGTCTCGTCATTCTATCTTTTCATTCGTATTTTCGACTGTAAAATTAAGATCAAAGATGTCAAATAGTATTTGAAACGTTTATTTGGCCGGTACGCCATGACAGAAACGTTCCCCGTTCCAATCTCGACATTCCCGGTTGATTTTACGGGAAGCCACTACTATCGTATTCACGGAATTCGATCGGTTTCGTCGTTTCTGAGCCAAGCTGCCAGAGAATGTCCCGAGCGATCGATCCTTAGGAAATTACTGCGTCGATTGAATGACATTTACCGAAAGAGTGACAGGCTTTTATCGTGGAAATAATCGAGAACTGTCCGAATCGATCAGATCCACGATTAGACGCGTACCTTCATAAATTTTGGGTGGCATCATAAACTGTTTGATCGCACAAGTTACACGGGAACGACGAATGCTCACGAACCGGGACGTACCCGCGTGTAACTCATATCTGAAAACGACAGATCGTGAGTAGAAGGGCGAGGATCCTACGCCCTCTTCTACCACGGCTCGAGTAAATACAGTCCCGAGTATTCTCGTTATATAACGTTGTTACGAGCGACGGTGAAGTATCGTTGGTCACATGCTCGACGCAACGCGAGCTTGAGCGTAATCGATACGTCTTCTCGCTGGATGTAGCGACGTAATTCAGTTTTAATCCCGGGTTCTTTTCACGATCGACGTAAGCCTGATCTTTTGAGCCGCTTTTCTTCTTATTAGAACCTGATCGCGTTTACGTCACGTTTTTCTCGCTTCAATTAGGTCTCGCAGGAGATGTAGTAGTATGGTAAGCACGTATACTCGTGTTCTCGAGAGTCTAGGATCGGGCACAGTTCAGTTTTTGATCGTTCTACGCATCTCAATGCTTTACCGTTTTGACTCACCGTTTGAGAACCACTGTTCCTCGGGGTGATCGAACTCAGCGATGGAGCGTTTATGTCATGAAGAGGAAGAAGAAAAAGAGGAGGAGGAGGAGGAGGCGAAGGAAGAAAGGCTCGCCTCCGTCCGCCGACGGGCAACAGCTGGTCGGTTGTTCGTTGGCCACGGTCTCTCGGATACGGGCACGAACCGTTGTTACCAACCGATTTATCAAAATCGGCCAGTCCTCTCTCTCTTCTTGTTCTTCCTCCTTTTCCACCCCTTTGGAGCGGCTCCTCTCTAGACCGGTCCTGCTGCTCGTTCCGCTTTCGTTTTTCACCGTTCGTTCCTCCTTTTATGCTTTTAGAATTAAGGATGTATAGGCTATATACTTAAACGATGCTAGCATGTTGAATTTTTTATTATAGATTCCTATTACTATTAAAAAGCTAGCTGTAAAATTTTAAATCAATTCATGGGTTTTTGAAAAATTACAGTGACTTAAAATTTGCATGTATTTTTATGGTAATCAC